CCGTCATTGTTGTTTGGCGGGTCCGGGCTGGGGATTCGAACCCGCCACCTTAGGTGTACGTGGCTGGCACCTTAGCCGGTTGAGCCACAGGCGCCGAGCCTATCAATCATCTGTTATAACATAGTCATACACAAAAGACATCTGTACCTGTCCTCCTGGAACTTAAACATGTCATAATTAGTCAGAAAAAGCAATAAAGGTTAGAAAGAACTACACGGGACAGTCCACTCTAAATTTATATCCCACACATGGTTAAAAAAAAAATTCCTAGAACTTCTCTGGAATCTAAGCTGGAAAAAGTCTGATCCAAATATGAGGATAAAGACGGTCCTAATGGCTTGTACTGTTGGTAGTGAACTGTATCATGATACCACAATTGTTCTAGACCACTGTGGACAGAAGGTTGTAGAGATACTGAATCTCCAGATGTCCCCTTCCTATTAAGACTTTAACAGTAATTACAAATGACATTTGCTCAACAGAAATTTAATGCTTCATCTCTTGTCTACCACATTCCTTTCCTCTTCTGTGTTTCTCTCCCCTCCACTATTTCCTGCTCTAGCCCTCAATGATTCACTCCATTCATCTCAGAGAGTCTTTATATTCCTCCTCTTCTTTCAGTCAGGGAACTACGAGTTTAAGATTGAGCTTTCTCCTCTTGGGGATTCTCAGGAAAGAAGCTTGGGGGGCAGGGGATCCGTGGCTTTAGAAAACATAAAAATAGTTCACAAGGAATCTCCAAGTTATAGTCCTTTTAAGCTTTCACTTCAAAAGATACCTGAGGTGTTAAAAAAAAATGTGGGGTCAATATCTGAGTAGAACAGTGACTAATTTACTTATTCTTCACTGTAATTATTTTGCAAATTTATATCCTGGATTGAAAATACTTTCAAAACTTCCTAGGATTTCTAACTCATTAGAAACACAATGGTAAATAGTAAAATTACCTCAACTGCCCAGAGGGTAAAAAAAATCAGCACTACCATATGAATGTTACTTGTTTTAAAGCATATTAAGAAGTAAACACAAACTGCAAAATTCTACAGGACTTAGATCACTGAGAATGGATATACTATGAAATATCTTCTCAGAAATATTCTCCCAGAGAACTCATATAATTGAAATTTGTAAGAAAAATACGTAGACAGGGTATCATAAAGGCATTACAGAAATAGCTAAAGAATTAAATGCCTAGAGTTGTAATGTCAAAAGCATATTCTCAAAGAACTGTGTGACACGATCACTGATGGTCATTCATCATCCATCAGACAGACAGCACTCACTCTGTGCCCAGCATATAGGTGCTATCAGAGATAAACCAGTGAAGAAAACAAACATAAAAATCCCCACTCAGGGTGTATTAGGGGATCCAGATAGATAATAAAGAAGAAAACATAAGTCAAACTATGTTAGATGGTCCTAACTACAAAGGAAAAAAATAAAGTAGGAACAAAAAGATGGAGTGGGTATAAAAGAAAGGAGGAAGAGAACGAACTATGTTAGTTGTCTGAAAGAAGACATTCTGGCTCGGCGCCTATAGCTCAACTGGCTAAGGCGCCAGCCACGTACACCTAAGGTGGCAGGTTCGAATCCCCAGCCCAGACCTGCCAAAACAACAATGATGGCTGCAACCAAAAAACAGCCAGGCGTTGTGGCGGGCGCCTGTGGTCCCAGCTACTTGGGAGGCTGAGGCAGGAGACTCGCTTGAGCCCAGGAGTTGGAGGTTGCTGTGAGCTGTAATGCCACGGCACTCTACCTAGGGGGACAGCTTGAGGCACTGTCTCAAAAAAAAAAAAAAAAAGACATTCTGAGGAGAGGTGGCAAGCGCAAAGACCCCAAGGTGGGAAGAAGCTTAGTCCAAGGAACAGCAAGCTGGCCAGTGTGTAGAGCAGAATGAGGGAGGGGGCAAGGGAAGGGCTGGGGCTGGCAGAAGGAGCACTGAGTTCGCTTACCCACAGGTCTAATAGAACAGGTGCAAACTGAGGGCTGGGAGTTGGTTCTGGGTAATTAGAACAAAGGAAGACAAAAGATAAGAAGCCATGAATGTGTTAAAGTGTTGAGGAATCAGAGGCCAGTCCCAGCCTACAAGGAGTAAACATGCACTGTGAGGGCAGGGAGTGCAGTGTGGGGTGTGATAAACATTCAGTCTTTGATGCTCTGTTCAGGAGCTGTGGAAGAGAGACTAGGGGAGGGAGGCACCAGGGTAAAAGGCCGGCATAACTGCCCCTTTAATATAATCTCTGCTTTCCCTGGCAGGAAGAAAATCCTGCTGCAGATAGCTGCTTTAGTTGCTGATCTACAAAGAAAAAAACAGATGTCTTGGATCTTTGTGGGGACAAAACTCTTAAAATTCTCTTGTAGTAAGGAGAAGAGAAAACATCCAAGAACTGGCATTTAGACTATCGTATAATTTACATGAACTGAATTGAACTGCTCTAATACACAGTGAATCATAAGACAAAGATGACTAAAAAATGGGACTGAGAAGGCAAACAGGAATTTGGATTTTCAAAAGGGCATTCCACAAAAAGGCTAATCCACGGATAAACAAGTAAGAGTTAACTATATCATCTTGCAAAAAGAAGGGGATTTTGCTATCATTATCCACTTTGAATTCAAAGGCATTCGTAAGGCAAGAGCTAGGACCCTGTTCACAATTCAACACTTCAGTAACTCAAAGGACTCAAATGCTTGTTGATCAAATAAAAACTCCCATCCAAAACAGTTCATCTCAAGAGAACTGAACAGTACTAGAGCTATCCTAACATCACCTTGAACTGCTACTATAAATAGGGAGGAAATTAAACAAAAGCAAGGAAGTAGGAAGAAGGGATGTTTTCCTTCCACATTACCACCTGAGCAAAACAGGGACATATCCCAGAGGAGTCTGCTGGCTAATTACCCATATGACACAAGACCAATTCAGTTATATGCAGGACTGTTTGAAATAATGGGATATATCTGCATATATCACGATCAAATGCAATAAACAAAGCTGTTGCAAAAAAAAAAACAAAAACAAAGGAACTTAATATCCGTGTGAGTTGCATTAATGCTCCCCTCTTGGTCGAGAGAACAAAAAGCATATGTAATCTCAAACAATCTCTTTCCTCTACCAGTGGTTCTCAACCTCTCAATCTGTGGGTCGTGGCATTAGGAAGGGTGAGAACCACGGCTGTACACCCTCCAAGAACTCATGGATTTAGGACATTGGGTTTGCTTCTCCACCATGTTTTTAAAAACTGACCGTCTTAATACACAAGAGCACAATACAAAGACAAAAGCTCTTATCCACGTGTGGTTATGGGTTGTTATAAATCCCAAAGAGAGGAACTGCTAAAGTATGAATACACCCAGTAAGTTAGTATCACCTTCTATCATCAGCCAGATCGACGATCAAACTTCCACAGGAAAAACATCTTTCTACATGGGTTAATGTTTGTACACGTCACTTTGACCCAGTATTAGACTGCTTACGGTTAAAGTTTAGAAACTGGGTTCAAACTCGCTTTTTAAAGTAAATGTCTGAATGTCAATATTCTTTCCCATCTACTGTCTTCTGGAAGTATTTTTCCATGCCAACACTAGAACATCCTCTGTGTATGTCCATAAACAGATTCAAACTCCTTTCAATGCCACAAATAAGCCTTAAAAAGCCTTTACAAGCCCTCCCCCCTCCCCGCCCAAGTACAGCCATGGTTTGCAACGATGTGGTTAGTCCTGCTTAGGGGGCGCGATTAGAACAAGCTGAAAAAGCTTGCTCTAAACCGAGCAGAAAGGACCCCGGCGCTTCCCCCCCAGATGCAACAATACAAACAAGCATCCTGCCCCGTCCCGCACCGCCGGAAAGCGGCCCCACTCCCGGGACCCGGCACCGCAGGGAAAGGCCCGGCCTGCTCACCTTGTAGACGTCCCCGTAGGTGCCGCTGCCGACCCTCTGCACCAGCTCGTAGTCCTGCTGCGGGTTCCGCCTCAGGATGTCCGCGGCAGGCCGCAGCGGGGCCTCCATCTTCGCCCAGGCCCGGCCCCCGCCGGCTCTGCCCGCGGCTCCGGGATTCCCGCTAACGAGGGCGAACGGCGCCGCTTCTCAACATGGAGCCTCCTCCCGTAGCGACTCCTGCACGACAGGCGGCAAAGGCGGGTCGGCGTCGCGGCCCCGAGAGCCCCGCTCCGCCCGCGGCCCAGCCCCTTCCCTTCCGTCCCGCCCGCGGCCTGGAAGGGTCCCCGGCGCCCCGCAGCCCCGTCCGGGCGCGGCCCCTCCCCATCTCCGGCCACCGGGCGCTGCCCTGCCCGGCCCGGCCCGGCCCGGCCGCCTCGCCCGCCGGGGCCCAGGCCCGGCCCGGTACCTGAGGGGGGCGGCCCTGCTCTTTGTTGAGCGTCCCGCGTCCTCGACGGCGCCCGCGTCCCCTCCCCCGCGCCGGCGGCAGCCCGCGTCTCGCCCCGCCGCGCCGCGCGTCCTCTCGCAGGCGGCACAGGCGCATTCGGCCGCCGCCGCACCACGTTCCCCACCCGGGGCTGCGTCACCGGGAGACACGTTCCCGGCCAGCGTGGGTCGGCGCCCAGCGGCCCGCCCGAGCGCGCCGACCGCGGGGCCAGAGTGCCGCCCTGAGGCCTGGAGAGGACACGACACCCTGCGGGCCGCGCCGCCGCGCCCCCCGCCCCCCTCGCTCGGCGCGTCCTCCCAGGGCCTAGGGCGCTTTCTTCCCGGCTCTCAGAGATAAGGGACCTCCCCGGCGTTCGTGGCCGGACGGACCTTGGATAAACCGTCCTCAGTTTGGTCAGGTAGACATGGAGGGTGACGGGTAGAGGCAGAGGGTGGGCGCGCGGATGATGGGAACGCGGCCCTTCAGGTCCAAGACGGAGAAGGTGCGCGGAGGGCACTGGGCCAGCAGTAACCTGGCAGCGGGGCGCCGGGCTGGGAGTAGGGGAGTGCCAGGTTAACTAAGTCGCGGCACACCCTACTGCACCTTCCTGTTTTGCAAACCATTCCCAGTGGTTCCAGTTTGAGGCTACACTGCACACTTGCACAACCTGTCTTCTTCGTTTTTTCGGAGACTTTTCTGAAAGCCTGAATTCCTAGGAAGATTCAGTGGCTTTTGCTGTTGCTGGACACACGCAGTGCCCCACCACTGCGCATTGCACCTTTAAGGGGACCAGGAATGCTGCAGAAGCTGAAATACAGTCAGGGGCTGCAACCTGGGTGGCATATCCCGTACTTCCCCAGTATGTGATCTGGACCAGGCCATCAGATTGGGCAACATCTGGGTGTCCTTATCTGGAGCTTGAGGTTTTGCCTCTGACACTTAAGAAAGTGTTTGCAAAGCATTTCATAGGGTTGTGAAGAGAGTTATCAAATACAGGAGGTTTTTAAATGCTTAATGCACAGGGTATTCAACAGGAATTCAGGGAAGTAATTTGACTATTTCACAAGTTGTTTTGCAGTTTCAGTTCTAGTCTTGTTCTGAAGGTAGAAATTAAGTTGGCTGCCTTATTGTCTACTGGCGAAGTTATTTCTAGAGTTATTTGAACAGAAAAGCCAGATATCACTGAGCTACTGCAATTGGTGACTGAAAAATTACAAAAGAGCAACTTGCAGATGTGGCATGTGTGGCTTTGAACGTCCAGTTTAATTCTATTCTTGGGAAATATGCTTGTTACTGTTATAGTAACTGTGATCAATTGAATAATATAGAAATTAAATTCACACCTTAACAGGACAGGAAATATATGTCATTTCTTGTGCTCCATGGACAAAGGACACTTTTTTAGGGAACATAAGTCAGCCCAGACTTACATGCTCCATGGACAAAGCCTAGTGTTCACTGCATTGAAAAAATTATTGAAGAACAGTTCCTTCTTTCAAAGCTGCTTGGCTCTTGTTTTGGTGGGCACATACTTTTGGCTTCAGTGACTCAAAATCTCTTCAAATGTTCTATTGGTATCTTAGTACTTGTTTACTGTTATCGATTTATTTCGTTTTTTATATTTTCCACTGCCCCTATATGCATTGATCTTTACTCTGAAGTGCATTTATTCTTATTTATACCTGTATTGCTTCAGAGAATTTGAAGCAGCATATAGAAAATACATACTGTAACACAAGATAAAAATAAACAAGTGAGGAAACCAGTATGGAGTTAGAAGAAAAATGGGAAACAAGAACAAATAGAATGAATTGGCCAAAGCAGAGGATTTTATAATGTTTTTGAGATCTAGATGAACCAGTTGTTGGAGAAAGAGACACATCTTTTCCTGATGCTAAGACTTCAGAAAATTTTATCTCTTGAGTCTTCATAAAGTAGAAATTGAATGCCTAGTTTGAGATGAGGATAAATATCCTGACAATCCTTTAAGCATGTTACTCTTGAAACACAACATTTAAAGTGAATTGGGCAATAAAAAGTTTGAGGCCACAGGCCTCAACTAGACCCTAGAGAGCAGGTATTTTTATGTTGCTAGTCATGCCACATCCATATGCTTTGACCGTCAACCCAGACAGAGGCAGATAGGATGGAAAAAGTTGAGATTCTATGTGGTGGTTAAAAAACTGTGTCTGCTAGAATCATTATTTTACTTGTACCACAGTTGATGTCAAGAGGAAAACATTTGCTTTATATTAACTCCAAGAGAACCTTAAGGAATTTTAAAAACTGGTTGAGTTAATTTCAAAAAGATCAGTGAAGTGGATTGGTTGTTAAAGAAATTAAGGTTTACTTTCCTTAAAATAAGCATATAGTGAATAAATTTAATTTTGTCCTAAATAATCAAGCACGTAATTTCAAGGTTGAAGTTTACACAGGAACAAATTGTAGCTCACAGGAGAGTTTCTTACAAATGACCCAATTTTACAATGACAAGATGTAGAATAAATATGGTTTGAGATATGGGTCCTTTATCCCAACTTAATTGTCACGTATTCTTAGTGTCTTCATGATATGTGATATGTAAGTATTTTTCAGCTTTTACTCTTCTCTATGTAAGAAACTATAATTTTTTTTCTATGTTTTGTAGAGTTCCCCCCTTATTTCAGAGTTCTTCAGTAAAATGCTAATTGTAATCTATGGCCTCTAATTTCAACTCTAATGTAATAAACACTGAATTTTTAAAAATTGGGGACATAAAAGTCTTCATCTTCTACATAGCTAAATTTTATAATTTATTATCCAAGAAAAAAATGGTTAACCAAATCCTTAAAGTGTGATAGGACAGAGCATAAGGACAATAGTTTTTGTCTATGGAACGTAGAGGTTTAAACAACAAAGTAATTCAGTCTGATGAATCTTCTAACATAATGAAGTTGTGAATAAAACTCTATGTGATTAAGCTGATTGCTGTATAGCTTTGACAAGTATAAATCAATTAAATATTGGAAGACATTGGCACAATCGTGATTTGGATTTTCAAACAGTTATTATAAAATTATTCTCTCTAATAATTAGATTCACTTGTCTGCTGAAGCTAAACCATTATTTTTCAAGTATAGGGCGATTCTTATATTTTGTTTTGGGTAGCAGTAGTACAAGTATTACATTGACAGTCACTATCCGATCATTATGATGGGAGTTTTTAAAAGAAAAAGTGAAGAAAACAGTACATACCCCTTTTCTATCCAGCTTGAATTGATTATTGGGTGTATTAGGAAGCTGTTTCTGTTAACCTTTATCCTCAGAGTGGTTTAAGGTTAGAATTGGTAGGATTTCTATATTTGACTCACAAATTAATTTTGTCTGCAAATTCAATAGCTAAGAAAAGATAATAGTTACAAATTACAAATAACCTTACACTATTTGTTAGCAGTTTCCCTGCATTATGATAGGTATATGTTTAGGAGGGCCTAAAGCTCACTTACACCTCATGTGGGCCAGTGTTAGGAGCAGGAGAGGCCTTGGTGCTTGACAGAGACCCTTTCCTACAGCTGTGTAGCTTTGCAGGATTCCAGTAAGCTCTCCTTTTCTTTGTCCCATCAGGGCAAGGATGATGATGGCTTCCCACTGTTCCTAATCTCAGCATACCTGCTATCTCTTGTTTACCTTAACCCTGTCCTCATTTTTACATTTAATTTAAATCATTTAATTTTCTTGCTGTGTTGCCTAGGCTGGAGTGCACTGTAGTCGCAATCTGCCCACTTCAGTCTCTGGAATAGGTGGGAACACAGACATGCACCACCATGCCTGGCTTTCATTTTTGTAAATAGTCCTTTTATTAGACTCTCTTTCTGTGCTCTCTCTTCCCAGAATCCTGACTGATGCAGTTGTAGGGACTGGAAGTAGTCTCCGAAAAGAACCCTGGAAATGGCTTTCTTGGATGGCATTATTCACGTGTCTGATGCCTACCTATATAAAATACCTATCAAGAAAAGCAAAACAATGGTGTGCTGTAGCATGGGGTGACATCACAGCTGCTCAAACAGCCATCAGCAGTTGGCCTGAGAAGGAGTGTCACCGCAGGGTCCAGCACTGGGAGATCAGTCTGTAGCACTTACTTAGCTGCTATGACACTGATGTTAGTATAATTGGCTACTCTGAGTCTGTGAGAATATGTGGAAAACAGACAAACAGAGAGCCTTGAGTTCCAAACTTAAGTCATTACTATAAAATCAGAAAGCTTCTTTGACAGCCCTGAAGATATGGCTGAGGACCAAGCCCAGGGTTTGACTATAAAGGCTACAGAGTTGCAATTGTCAATTAAATGTGAGACCTAGTTCCCTTCTCCTAAGGTGACAACACCTGTGGAGAAGGCTAGGATCCTGGGACCTGGGATGTGGGCATCTGAGCAGATATGAGTGAGACCAGGAACTTTGAATAAGAGGTAGAGTTTCAGTATAGTCTCCCTACTCTGGGAGAAGAGAGCTCATACACTGAGGAAGTTATAGTATCTTGCCAAATACTGACCTGGAATTCAGATTTGATGTGTTAACTTCAGCATCTGAGGGTCCTTCCAGGTGGGTTACTTGAAGCTTGTTCTCAATAATAGCTGGTAGCCTATATGTTGAGGCCAGAATTTCCCTGACATACTATAGAGGAAGGAATCACAGTGTTTAGGGAGATGGGAATGGTGGATTTACTCAATTCAGTACATTCTACTTAGTCACGTTCTATCTATACCAGCATAGGAAGGCCCATATAATTTGCCTTTATCCAGACATTTCAAAGAGGGGGCACAGATATCTTTGAAAAATTCTTTGATGGTTGCCGGGCGCAGTGGCTCATGCCTGTAATCCCAGCCCTGGGAGGCTTAGGAGGGAGAATTGCCTGAGCTCAGGAGTTTGAGACTTGACTGAGCGAGAGTGAGACCCCAACTCCTAAAAAAATGGAAAAACCCAGCTGGGTCCTCGTAATCCCAGCGGCTTCTGGAGGCTGAGGCAGCGGATGCCCACAGCCTAAGTCTGAGGTTGCAGTGAGCTATGACGCCATTGCACTCTGCTCAGGGCATAGGGTGGGACTCTGTCTCAACAAAAAAAAAAGAAAAAGAAAACTTTTTTGATGGCTGTCCTTAATCAAAAAGGAGGGAGATGGGGTTGGGTGCCACAATGAAATTGGTATCCATGATTTTAGTGGGAATATTGAGACCCTGATAGAGGCCAGGAGGCCTAAATGTCAGATGTATTTGATACAATTACCGTGATAACCCTCAGGAAGAATTGATAATCAGGGTGTTTCGAATGCAAGGACATGTGGTATTCTTTTGATCCCCAAGTCTCTAGAAATGAATAAAACCAGCCTACTTAAGGGCTTCTTGACAAACATAAGTGGAAAAATTCTAGGACTGCTGGGCAGAAACCTAACTGAGGTCACTGTGACAGGGTAACAGAAACATCATACCCAATCCTTACACGTAACAGCCAGTTCACAAACCTGAGTCCCCTAGTTAAGGGGGAGGACAGATTCTGTTGAGGAAGATTCTTGCAGAGTAGACAGGTACAGATAGTGAATCTTCCCTGAGGCCGTTTCTAGAGGTACCTGTGACCTTTCACCACAGGTGAACTGAAGAGTGGGAGGTCCTCACACCATCTAGAGCAGTGGTTCTCAACCTGTGGGTCACAACCCACAGGAACTGTATTAAAGGGCCGCAGCATTAGGAAGGTTGAGAACCACTGGTCTAGAGATTATTAGATGATAGCCCTGAAAACTAATCCCTGCAGTCTCAGACTGCCGTAGAATTCCAGTGATAAGAGTTCAGATTCAAGAAAGTCAAGTGTACTCTTGCGTGAGGTCCATTTCGTAATGGGTACAATGTGACTAAGTGTTGTGAACGTGGGTTCATTTGCCACCACCCAAGAATCAAAGATGAGAGGCAAATGTTAGCACAGGAAAGGTGGTTTATTCTCGTGCTGGCAGCCAGAGGAGCTGGTGGACTTGTCTCAAAGGCCATCTATCTCCTCTGCTCACTGAGCTGCTTATAAAGGGAAGGGGTGAAGGGGGCTAGTGGCAGGAAGCAAGCTTTGTACAAGTCCTCATGACTAACTGGCTTGATGGTGATCAGCAAACAGTAGGGAGTCCACTGGATCTTGTCATCAGCAGTCTGTCATTGGCCTATGGGGATTCCTGATCTGTTTTCCCCCAAAGTCGTTTTCTAATCTTGTACCCTGTAGCTGTATATGCAAGCAACGAGTGAATTCTAAACTTCTAAGACAGAACAAGCCAAAAGCATATGGGAAGCAAATGGCTTCTCTTAGCTGTTCTGTGGTCTGAATGGTCCTTGTGATGCACTTGCATAAAGGTCCATTTTAGACTTATTTTTCCCAGTCCCAAGTGCATGTGATAATATATATATTCAGTAACAGAATCCTCATGTCAGGTTTCTGAAGAATAAGGGCTGTTATGATTGGTGGGGCCAATTGTAACCTCCCTAGCTAACATCTTCCCATATGCCAGAGAAGAAAGCCAAAATTAAACTTCAGTACCGGGGAAACTACTGAGATTAGTGCCACCATTAAAATCTGCAAGGTGCTTTTAAAATTTAATCAAGTCCCTTTTATTTATTTGTATTGTTGGTGTAATTGCTTTGGGGGGGTCTTAGTCATAAATTCTTTGCCTAGGCTGATTATCTAGAAGAGTTTTTCTTTCTTCTAGAACTTCTATGGTTTGGGGCCTTACCTTTAAGTCTTTTATCTGTCTTGAGTTGATTTTTGTAGGTGGTGACAGAGAGGGGCCCTGTTTCATTGTTCTGCATGTGGCTCTCTAGTTTCCACTGCACCATTTATTGAACAGGACTTCTTTTCTTCAGTTTATGTTGTCGCAAAGATCAGTTGCTGATGCTTTTAGATCTGGGTTCTCTGTTCTACCTCCTTGATCTGTGTCTCTATTTTTGTACCCAAACCCTGGGTTTGTCCCCCAAACCAGAGTTTTGGTTACTCTAGCCATGTAGTATAGTTTGATGTCTGGCAATGTGAAGCCTCTAGATTTGTTCTTTTGCTTAAGATTGCTTTGGGTGTCAAGGCTCTTTTCTGGTTTCATATAAAACATAGAATTATTTTTCCTAGATCTGTGAAATATGATGTTAAAATTTTTTTTTTTTTTTT